GTTGGATAATCTTGTTGACGCATATGATAGCAAATTTAATAGCCTTTACTAATACAAAAAGAAATTTAAGATTGGCCAACTACATCCAAGAAAATTGCAATTAAGTGAGTGCACTTTTTTCAGATCCCAAAAACCCGAGATTTGGATAAATCTCAAAAACTGTTTTACTTTTTTGTTTTTCGATTTCGTATTTGGATTCAGTGGAAAATTCTTCATAAAAATTTATACACAAATTGATGCGACTGGCTAACTACATCGAAACAAAGGCGGCCCCAATACGTTCTATGATGGAAAGGGGCTGAAATTTGCATGTTTAAACTCGTATAACGCGAAAAAACCGCGGTAGAAAAAAAAATTATTTTACACATTGGTTACCAGTAACCATAGCAGCAACGTGGTGGAGTTTGAACAAAATGCTGCCATAAAATGTTTTTCCTGGTACACTTGACGAATTTTGCCCCACATACAGCTACTCAAACAAGTGTTCTCCCGTTGTTTTTTTTAATACAATGATTTAAATGTTAAAATTTTGCTGTAATTTTGTTACAAAAATATTGCTCATGCTTTAACAAATACCAGGTTTAGAAAAATTCGACTAATTTTCATAAAAATTTCGAACCTTCTAATCTAAATCTTAAGAAAATTGTTGGGTATGCAGTTTTACAGCCCATTTTGGGGAAAAAGTACAATTTATAAGAGCCTATAAAATCACGTTGATTTTTAATAATTTTGTATAACGTTTAAAGCTTTGATTTATATGTCTTTGGATAAAACATTATGGTGCATTTACATGATATGAAGCCATATGCACTGTAGATACGCTAAAATAGAGGGACTACATGTTCTAATGAGGAATTCAATGATATCGAGCGGGATGCATATAATAAATTTTTTCATATGAAAAATTATGTGGAGATACTGTAAACATACTGTTGTGATACTGTTAAGCATATGAAGTTATAGCAAGTTGGATTTTCATACATCTTCCCATAAAAAGTTTAACAGATGCAGAGATACCACGGAGGTTTTTTCTCATTTTGATGCCTTTTTTAATATGAAACCCACCGAAAAGGAGGAAAGCGGCAACTCCGCCAGTCACATACATGTCAAAAGTAGAAAATTTTAAAAATTAAAAACAATAAACAAACAATTTCAAAACAAACAAAATCCTTGTACTAGTTTTTTTTCAATAGAAGCAAGTCACGTATGGTGGACAATATAAATACAAAGCACTATGACAATAAGACATTACTCAACATTTTAATGAGCTTTATATCACATTTAAGTAAAAATTCCAAAAATTTCCAAAATGGCAAATAAACGAAAATGTGTATTTTTTGTTGTTTACAAAAAGACTTGCCAAATATATGTACATATAAGACAAAATTATAGAAGGCATGTACACTTCTCCCTTTCATTTTTTTCATACAGTTGATGCTCCTTTCTGGCCTTTACAAAATGCAGGGATACCACACTTATTTAGGTACAATATGATCGTAATGTATTTTCAATTCGAAATTAAAGAAAAAACTCCCCACGAAAATGGTTGCCATTGTAGAACAATAAGTGTATATTTGCAAACTGATGCAAAGAATGGAATGTCATATCCTAAAACGTTAGGAGAATTAACGCAACAAACAAACATTTTATTTTCTTATGTTTCCTTCAAACCGCATTGCTATTTTTTCTAACTCTTCCTTTTGTTTAGCGCTGTAACCGCATAAGTTATATTTATTTATTTGTACATGTGAGTTATTTTCACTGAGCATTTCTCCGTTTGCTCCTGAATTTCGGGTACATTTTCTTATAGTACCTCTCTTTCTTTTTTATATTACATATATACACTCCGATGTTCGCCGTCGTCCCTCTGTTGGTAATAGTAAACCTCCGAGCGTATTCTGTCATGAAAACAGCTTCTCATAAAAATACAATTGTCGTTCGGAGTCGGCGTAAAACTGCCCTTCCCCTTTGTGTGACAAAACCAAGGCGCATGCCCCATATGGGAGGAGAAGCTAGGCCAAACACTAACATATTGTGTAAGCGCCAATCAGTATATCGTCGTTTAAAGTACAAAAGCGTATATCGTGGTTCTGCAAAACCTCGTAACGGACATTTGTGCCAAAAAAAAATATTTGCTCACTGGAAGCCCTTAATCATTTATACTAAAATTTCGATACTTAGACATAAGAAGAGATAATTAAGTTTAAAAGAGAGAACCGTTTTGAATTATGACAAGTTTTACTCTCTCCTATAAAATTTAGGCAACCTCACATTCAAGGTTTTGCATTTTCTTGATGCGCGGTTTTGTACTTTAAATGACGATATGTAAAAGTATTGCATTCATATTTGGGTGCCTTTTCAAGTATAAACTCCATTAAGAAACGAAAGAAAACGGCATCCCTATGATTTCAACTTATGCCAAACGTTTAATATGAAAGACAAAAAACGTAAACAAGCAATTTATGAACAAAAAACTGTTTATCCACAAAGATGTTTGAATGGAAGCATTACACATTCGAAAAATTAACAAACCGCAAGGCTTTATTGGCAGTAGGGCCTTTTTAAAGCACATTAACAAAAATATTAGCTCTAGTTTCGAAGTTAGCACAAAATTAAATTTTTTTTAACTTCTTTTGATTGTTGTTTACAAAAAAATATTTGCCAAGTATATAAGTCGAAATTGTTAAATATATATCGCTTTCATTCATTACTTCATAGAGTTGGTGCTTCTTTTATAGGAAAATTCATACGGCTTATGAAAAGATTCATACCATGTAAATGCACCATTAACAAAACTTTTATACAAAATAACAAAAAAATGTTACTTGAAAATATTGTGTACATTAAAAAAATCAACATGTGAACACTTGCTTGAGTCACTGTATATGTAACTGAAGTAGATCACTTATCGGGAATAAAAGAAAACTTGTATGATTTGCTCGTTGATATATTAATGATGACTTAGACGAAATTCAAACCATTAAGATTAAATCACCATTTTGCGGGTGACCAAAGTAATAATTCAACAAAAAAAAAATAGCTCAAGTTTTTGACAGCGCTCGGTGCACTGATCCGTTATAAGGAGTGCTAAAACAAATTCTTTGATATACCTTGCCATAGCTAATTTAAAAACAAAATTATGGGCACATTTTCTTGTCCTAGCATACTGAAGGTTATTGAAATAAGTTTAGCTTGAAGTGAAAGTGGTTTAGTTTTATCGAATATTAATCATGACGAATTTCGATTTTATAACTTTAGTTTAAAGAATTAAGGGTTAAGAAAAGGGGAACTCGATAGAACGTTTCTCAAGCTTGAAGTTTCTCCGCGATATAAAAAAAAAAATAAAAATAATGGATATCAACTAGTAAATATGAATCCGATGGGAATAAATCCGATTTTATAACTTTAGTTTAAAGAATTAAATATTCTGGTCCAAAGTACTCATGTACCTTGGGGATGCAAAATACTTTCCCAAAAGTACCAAGGTATTTAGTTGATGGCTAAATACTTTCAAACTAAATACTGTATAATTTAGGAGAAAGTTAGAGAATTGACACCTCACCTTACACTCACCTCAACTTACTTTACCGCAACTCACTTCACCTCTCCTCAAATTAACTCACCACATACAAACTCACCACACCTCCTACTGGTACACCAAAATCCGCCAAATCTTAACTCACCACAGTTGAATTCATTACACCCGTTCTCACCACACCTCACCTAAACACACCACACCTCAATTTGGGAACTGTTTCTGGATTTGAGACATTCGTAAGACTAAATCAGGATTTTCAAGACTATTTCGGGGTTTTCGGGACTATTTTGGGATTTTCGAAGCTATTTCGTAATTCTTTAGGGATTCCCGGAAGCTTTGTTTGAGATTTTCGGGGTTCTCGGAACTCATATCGGGATTTTCGAAGCGACTTTCAAAATATTTAGGGATTTTTGGAACTAGTTTTGGGATTTTTGGGACTTTCGAGATTCTCGGAGTTAATAGTGGGACTTTCGGGAATATTTCGGAATTCTCGGGATTTTTGGGACTCCTGGACTAGTTTTGGATTGTTAGGACTAATTGCTAGTTTTTGGGATTCTCGGGACTATTTCCAGATTTTAGGGACTTACTTCGGATTTATAGCGTTTTCAGGATTCTCGGGAATAATTTCGGGACTGTTGGGACTTTCGTGACTAGTTAGGGATTTTTGGGACTCCCGGGACTATTTCGGGGTTATCGGGAGTAATTTAAGTATTTTTGGGACTTTTGGGACATTTTTCAGATTTTTGGGACTTATTTAGGATTTTTGCAACATTCGAGTCTATTTCGAGATTGTCGGGAGGAATTTCGGAATTTGTGGGACTTTCGGAAGTATTTAGAAATTTTCGGGACTAATTTAGGAAATTTGGGACTTTCGGAACTATTTCAGGATTTTTGGTATTTTCGGGACTATTTCGTAATTCGCGGAACTGATTTTGCGATTTTTAGAACTAATATCGGGACTTTTGGGGCTTTCGGGAGTACATCGATTTTTTTGGGTCTTTTGTGGATGCTTTCCATTTCCAGACAACCGGTCAGGTACGAGCATGATTTTTAATTTCGACCAAACTCAAATACATTGTTTGTTGGTCCAAATAATGAGATACGTATTTTTTCTTTTGGCTCGGAAAAA